CCCCTCCTCCCGCCCCACCCTGGGCCTTCGCCGCACTATTGTTCGTGTCCGTGGGTGACGCGCGTGTGCATTTAAGTTCTCAGGTTGGTCTCCTCCCCCACCCCCTTCCCTGCTTCCATGTCTCTGGATCTGCTTTGTATTTCAGTTTATTTTGTGCATTGGATTCCACACACAAGTGAGACCACGTGATACCTGTCTCGGTTTTGAAATTGATGTTGTTGGTTAGAACATCGTTGAGGTGACTCTACAAAGCGTCTGATCTGCAGACGCTCACGGAGCACCGGGGAGATGTGGGCTGGGCTGCTTTGCGATTAAGGGAAACTTGCTGACTTGAGGTGCAGTGTGAGGAGAACCCAGGGACACAGGCTCGGCGCAGGGACTCGAGTCTACGGAGCTGTGTCTCCGGCCAAGGGACTGACCTGCCCTACATCTCAGTCTCCCCCTCTGCTTACCCCACAGGCCCGTTCTAAGGGGGAAAGAAAACACTGTGGAAAGCAGCCAGTACCCAGAGTCCTGGGGACACCACAGAGGTCACCCTCTTAGTTGGAAATACCGTTGACGGGTCTTGTTCCACCTTCACCGCCAACCCGGACTGTAAGATCCTGAGCCAGGGATGGGGCAGTCCTTTTTCCTGGCACGTGGTGAGGGTGCCCAGCTGCCCAGTGAATTCATCTGGGTGAACGTTTTCCGAGGGTGGCTCCCACTTACACACAGTTTGCTCACCGACACCGGGGATTCGGGTCTGGCTCACCCGCTGGCCGGGAGGCCGGCGCTGCGGCGCACACTCTGGCGGTCAGTGACGCCTGCCAAACGCTAGGCGCGCCAGGGTGCTCCCTTACACATCTCAGAGCTAGGGACAGTCACGGGTGACGCCATCGCCGTAACTTGTTAACAGCTCCTAATAAAGCTGTCCACTGCGTCACAACACCTCGGCCTAAGGAGCCCTTAGAATGACAGCCGGCCACGGACTCTCACTCTCCCGCTCTCCTCTGTCCCAGTGTGTGTCTGCTTCAGGCCACACGCGCAGGCATGTCCTGCATAACTAGGGATTGAATGGTAATCCTGGGGATTATATTAACAGGCTTCTCTCAGAAGTCCCGTGTGACGTCCCATAATGCCGCCAAAACCAGTTTGCTTTGGGAACAACCACGTGTTACCTTTTCCCCATACCAAGATGTTGCCACTCGAGTCGCCGGTAATGGTGTCCCCATTCTCAGAAAAAGTCACGCAGAGGACAAACTTTGGCTTCTCTTGCTTCTGCAGAACATTGTAAATATATACATATATTCAGTCAAGACATCCTTTTGTTTGTATTAAACTCTCGAGACTCACGGGAATGCCAGCTGGATAGCGTCCCCACACCGCCCGCCTTTCATTTTTATTTCCTGTTACGTAACTTATGCCGCGAGACTCTGCTCTAAGGGAAATTCCGGGGACGTAAGCAGCTGCAGACGGTTCGGGCAGAGGAGGGTGCGGAGGGGGCTGAGGGGCGGGTGGTGTTGCCATGACCACGGCCTGAGGAACGGGGTCCTGGCACCAGAATAAAGATCCTTTAACCCAATGTAGCAGCAAATGACCCACAGAGAAGGGGCGCTGTCCCGGGGTGCTCTCACGAGGCCCCAAGTGGCCCGACCAAAAGGCACAGGCTGTCTGTCACCCTTTGCAAAGACGAGTTACCTGACTGACCCCCGAGTGCCTTCTCAGCGGCTCTTGGCCGTGGTGGGGCCGCTCCCTGGGCATCCTTTCCCGGTGCTCTCCCTGTGTTGCCCACCTTCCCCGTCACCCACAAAACACGGGGGCCCCCCAACTCTGTTAGGGATCTGGGAATTAGTCTTTATCACTACACCCCCACGCTGGCCAATTAAAAGAAATCCTAAGACTGGATGCCTGGAAGCTCCCTGACCACAGGTAAAGCCGGCTGATCACAGACACTCAGTGAAAATAAACCAGTGCAACGGAACCTCACCTCGAACAATCCCTGCTTCTTGGAGAGGCAGTTTCCTTCGAGCGTCCAAAAGTAGAGGTGTGACTTCCCGCAGGTAACTATTATGTTGGTGTCCGTGGGGTGGAAGTCCACGGCGAACACAGCTTCATTGGAGCACTGGGAGAGACAGGAGACTCGACTGTCGCAAACCTCTCGCCACCACAAATAAACCACGCACCCAGGTGAGTACCAGCCTCCCGATTTCCCCACTGAATTTATCTTCTATAAACGCCAGGCTTCTGTTTGCTGCGGCCTTAACCTCTCCTGGTCTGTCTCCCCCACTGGACTGTGGCCTGAGGATGGAGCATGGGGCTCGCTCTCTCTGTGAGGACCTGTCCCAGCAGTGGGCACAGAGCAGGCCCAGTGGGCAGCGGGGGACTCAGCTGCAAGAACTTGCCCTCCTGGTCGCAGCACAGATCCCAGCCCTGGATGAACAACAGAATCGACCGGTGTGTGATGCGTGCAGATGCCAGGCCCTGTCCCCATCCAGTGATGGGACCTCTGAGAAAGGCCCAGGAATCTGCATTTTATGCAGCTCCATTGCTCCTGGCCCACTTCTGCCACCCTGGGAGTGTTTGCCCTGGGAGTCCCTCCTGGTCCAATTCCTGGGACTGTGCTGATAGGTGATGACCAAGCAGCTCCTTGGGGGTACCCCACTACCCTTCACCCCGATGTCTGATTCCCATGCACCCTGGTGGATGAACGAGACCCTGACCGCTCCTGCTGCGTGATGATTCAGCTTCACCTTCTCACACCTGGGTAACAACGTGTCCCCGATTACTTCCTACCTGGCGACATAGCGGGAACTTCACTATGTGGCCAGACTACTAGAGGCAGGGCGATAGTGTGAAGATAGGTGTCAGGAAATGTGACAGATTAGCGCACAGGGTCTGCACCCCAGCCAAGGAAGTCAGGTGACCCAGTGGTACCCCCCACGTCAGGTGGGCAAGGTGACCCAACACTAATCTTCACGTGAGGGAAGGAAGGTTGCCTAAGGGTAACGGACGCCAGGATGAGAAATATGAAGTCAGTTTTAGAAAACGTTGAACCGTGACCAAACAGGAGGGACACAGAAGGAAGCGTGTGGGAAGTCCACGGCTATACTGCGCAGAATGAGTCACAGGTGGGAAGGAGAAGCCTAAAGAGCCCCAGGTGACCCCCTGGAGGCTGGGACCCGGGGGGCAGCGCTCCTCCTTCACAGTGCTCTGCGCTCTGGACCAGCCGGGCTGGGGGCGCTCCCCTCCCTGAAGGGACTGGGCAGCGAGCATCTCGTCGCCACACCTCCAGTGCCTCCCGGGCGTGAGGGTCCACAGGGGACACTGGGCATGTGTCGAATGAGAGCAAGGGAAAGTGGACAAGTGGGCGATGGAATGAATGAAAAGGGTGATGGCTGTCCAGTGAGGGAGCAAAGCCCTGGGAGACGTGGTGAAGAGAGGAGGAAACCCTGCGGGACACGCGGGTGGCATCCCGGGAGGGGCAGGGCGGCCACAGCTATGCTGGGGGAGTGTCACCCGAGGGCTGCTTGGAATGGGGACCCGCAGCCCACCGAGAGGCGGGGAAGCGGCCAGCAACCAGCGGAAGGAGAAGGCCCCAGCGGAACAATTACAACGTAGCCAACGTGAGGCTTGGAGAGACCTTGACATCGGCCAGCCGCTCCTCCCTTTGCCAGTCCCACACCGACAGCACGTGGTCGTTGGAATCATCCACAGCGCACAGGTTGCTCCCTCCATTCTGGGGAAAAAACCACATTCACAGGAAGACTACATTTGAGAATAAAACAGGCTGGGCATGATTAAAAATGAACAATAATTCTACTTTTAATAAGGAGTCTGCCACATGTCCGTTAAAGGAAATTTACCAACTGCCTCTGAGACCTGCTCAGTTGGACAGAGAGCAGGAAACCAGGGCCTGAGGAGGGGCCAGCAGGAGGGGGGCCAAGCGGGCAGCTGGTCACCAGCAGGTCCACTCAAACCAGCCTCCTCGGGGCTGCAGGGCCCTCCCCCTGCAGGAGCCGGGCCCGCGGCCTGCGCAGTGCAGGCCTGGTGCTAACAGGGCTACCGGAAGGGTGCACGAGGAGCGAGCCCATCGGGTGAGGCCTGTGCTGCTTGGATGTGCACACACATGCCCCTTGCACATAAGCTTCTGAACTGGCTGGCGGACAGGGTGGCTCTGGGGAACAGCAGGCACATCCAGAGGAAGCCTGGGAGACCACTGGCCCGTCTAGCCCGTTACCAACAGTGAGCGAGCCCCTGTGAGGACAGCAGGGACATGCTGGTGTCCCCAGGGAGGTGCAGGTGAAATTCAAGGCCAGAGCAGGCAAAAGGCCACAGACCCTGAAGACGGCCTGCAGCAGGGCCGCCTCCTACCGACGGGCCCTTGTGGTTGGGAAGGTCTGATTGGAAACGTGTGACCTCTGAACGAGGGGACGGGAAGTGGGCAGGTTTCAGAGTCAAATCTGCACACACCTGGGCAGCCACCCCGCGCATCTGCCCAGAATCACCCAGCATGTTAACTCTCTCCCTCTTCAGCTCTGAGCTGAGTCCTCCCTGTGGACAGGGGGCGCTAACCACAGGGGTCAGACTTACAGATTTAGAGAACGCAATGCAGGTGACGGCTCGGTCAAAAAACCCGGTTCCAATGACGTGCAGTGTATTCAATGTCACAGAGTCCCAGATGCGCACGTGCGGGGGCAATTGCTGTTTAGAGAAAAATGCAAAGTCACCAACTGTGACAGTCCCACAAATTTACCTTTACTTTGAAGCTACACGATTACTTCAATTCTGTCAAAATGAAAGGTCTTTTTCTGCACCTGAAAATTCGGTCTTTTAACAGAAATAAAAGGTCCCCAATGTCTTCAGGAGGTCACGGCCCCTGTGCCAGTTTAACCTTAGGAGAGGTCTACCAGTTTTACATTTTAAATAGCCAATTCTTGATCCTACAGGAACTGACATTCTAATTTGTGCATCTGAACGCAACTGAATTTTTAAAATGACAAATGTCAAGGAAAACAGAACCTCGGATAAGGGTTAGTCTTATGAAGTTCGTATAGTAATAAGGTGTAATTCATCGAGACGGTCACCACCAAATCATTTTAAGGGCTCCTCGGGCCCCAGAGGAGCAACACGGGTAATCAATTAGGCACAAGTGAAATTTAGAATTGTTATGATTCAGTTCAAATCCCTCTCCCTTGTGTTCCAAGGTGATTTATACTAATTTTCTCTTCCTCAACAGGGGAAAGCAGCCCAGAGCAGTCAGCAGCTTTGTGGAGAAGAGGCCTGGCGGTGCACTGCGCGGGCTTGGTGGGGTCAGGCGAGTTAGGTTCTCGTGCGGGCTGGTCTCTGAGCAGCGGGGCGGCTGCAGCAGTCAGGTGACTTCCCCGATTTCTCTGCCTGTAACCTGAAAGGAGTGGCTCAGGTAGCCGCTCACATTTTCTCTGGCTGCCAAGTTCTGATTTCAGGGCCAGAAACAGAAATACACTTTCAGTCCACTGGAGGGGGGAACAAATGGCTGACTACTAATTTCAAAGAACATTTAAGGTCATTTAACATTAAGATAAAAAAGGTGATTCTGTCCCACTTATGTGTATTTATATACTAGTCTGACTTCCTGTTCCTGCTGCTTCTTTTCAAGCGTAGAATTTTAATGGAAAATAGCATAAAGTTAATGCTATTAAATATTTTCTGAAAAATGGTAGCACTCATCATGTTTGTTGGAAGGAAACGATGAAAATGGAAGCGTTTCACCCTGGCCAGTTTGCTCAGTGGTCAGAGCGCCGGCCTATGGACTGAAGGGTCCCAGGTTCGATTCCAGCCAAGGGCACACACCTGGGTTGCAGGCTCGATCCCCGGCCCTGGTCAGGGCGCGTGCGGGAAGCAACCAATGGATGTGTCTCTCTCACATCGATGTTTCTCTCTCCCCCCTTCCCACTCTCTCTGAAAAGCAATGGAAAAAATATCCTCAGGTGAGAATTGAAAAAAAAGTATTTCACATAATTAGTATCAGATCATCTGTTCAGTAATAAGCTATCCTAAGGTAGGTATCAAAAAAGCTACAAGGAGCCTGGCCGGTGTAGCTCAGTGGTTGAACACTGACCCATGAACCAAGAGGTCACTGGTTCGATTCCCGGTCAGGGCACATGGTGGGGTTTCAGGCTCAGTCCCCAGTAGGGGGCGTGGAGGCAGCCGATCAATGACTCTCTCTTCAGTGTTTCTCTCTCTCTCTCCCTCTCCCTACCTCTCTCTGTAAAATCAATAAAAACATTTAAAAAAAAGAAAAGCTCCAAGGAGTTTTGGATAACGGCCACGGCTTGTTGTAAATGAGGAACTGGAAGCCAGTCTGAACTGTCCTCTGTTAAATCCCACTGGTTCCCCCTGTGGCTGCCGACGTGCCTGCAGAACTTCGGCTAACGCCCGGCAGCCCGTGGGCCGCACACAGGCGCAGACTCGGGGCTGGGGTCTTGCTCACGGGGATCGCGAGACGGCGCCTGAAATCGCGGGAGAGGCAAGAGGCCCGCATCCAGAAGATGACTCTCTCATTTTAACTTCATGTATTACACATGCACTTGACATTTTAATGTTTGTCATGTATGTAAACAGCTTAAGAATTCATGAGCTTTTAGGCAAGAACAATGTTATTTAAAAATTGGCTGAAATTAAGGTAGATTCAAAGGATTTTTAAGATCACTGTAAAAATTTTAATTTGCCATAAACGATTCTAAGGAGGGATTAAGAGGTGTTCAGGTGCTTTACAGCTAAGCAGGTTTGTGGGTCAGCAAAGGGTTACGTTGTGTGACCAGTTCTTACAAGGAGACCGAGAGAGAAATAACGTAACTCACTTTTCCATCCTTGGAGGTGCCCGCGACCTGTCCAGTTGCTATCGTGATCTTATCCGGATGAACCGCTAGGCTAAAAAAGAGATATTTATAAAATACCTATTCTTTAAAGGCAAGTTTTATTTTTTCCTTGATCAAACATAATCTGATAATTTAAATATAAGAAATATATATAATGCGTAACTTCTATACAGACTCACAGTAAATCTGAGCACCCCAATGACTTTAGACAATTAGTCCTATTTCATTTCATCTTAATTTCTTCATCTTTAGAGAATTTTCAACTCAAGGAAAAAGCATTTTTTTTTTGCTTGAAAAATACCATTTCAATCTCAGAACCAGCTAATTACTCTGCAAGCTTTATTAAGATGTCATTTTGAGTATATCGAATGCAGAGACATTGTTTTCAACAGGACTTTTGTAACTGACGAGGGACCTAGGGCAAATAGAAGTATGTAAGCTCAGTGCTTCATCCACCCACCCTCCCGAGACACATAAAATCCCACCAAAAGCTGTGAACAAGTTATGGGAATGGCTAGGCCCAGCCATGAACACGAGGCAAAATATTTTGATTTTTATTAAAAAATAAAGACCCACTAGAAGCCGCTAGCACGAGATAGATTAAGGCGGCTTCTAATCAGGGGTTACGGCTGTTGGTTTAGGGAAGACGGTCAGCTGAAATTGTTATAAAGACAGGAGGCGACCAAGGTGTGAGAGCGCCAGGCAGCCAGTGGGCAGCGCAGCACGTGAGGACCTCCCCCCACAACCCCGTTTCCTCGGATCCCTTCTCTGCCCCGGGGCGGAGCCCGCGTGCCCAGGGCGCCAGCTGGGGACTCACCACTTCACGTCGTCATTGTGGCCGGCGTAGTGGCGCTGCAGCTGCTCCTCCACGTTGTAGAGCACGACCACGGACGCGATGAAGTACACCGTCTCGCCCGTCGGCAGCAGGTACAGGTTGTTCCGACAGTCTCGGCCCCGGTACCCGTAGCTTCGTGTGTGTCAAGACAAAACTTTTTTTTCCCCCCCCCTCTGAATTGCTGATGACACATCAGCTTTATTCTATGTGACAATTACCATCCATTTCACAAATTTAAACGTCACGTTGTAAACAGTGCTGAATACACCTGACTCCCTAAACAGGCAGGAGAGAGAGATGGAGATGGCCATCGATTTAATGCAAATGCATATCCTTAACTCTGCCAAGATGTGCTTTTATTTCTTTGTAAGCTAAAGTTTTTAGCTTGATCAAAAGTGATAATTTTCTATTTTATTTACTAAAGGTAACTGGATCAGACATGCGTGAAGTCCCTGGTGGGTGAACTCTTACGTATTTAGCCAATTACTCGTGGCTCCGGGAAGCAACGGCCGGGCACGTTCTTTGTTGCGCTGTTGGCGGTTTACACGGAGGCCCGTTTTCTTCACACCTGCTCTGCCTCCAAGTCTGCCCGGCCGGCGTCCCGTTACATTCTGCTAGGTCACCCTGCCCGCAGAATGACAGTCACCTGAAGCTGTGCTGAGATGCTCATTTCACAAGAATGCCGGAATATTCTGCACACGCTGTCCCTTCCTTTCTGCCGCCTGTCGTGTGACGTTTATCTTGTTACCACACTTGTCAGCTCTACTGAACTATCGAGAGTCCCCAGGGTGCTCAGGTTTCCTCCGGAACCTCAGAGCCCTGACGGCGCGGGCCTGACTCCGGGAACTAGTCTGCCGTCTTTCACGTCTGTGTCACTGCCACCCTGAGACACAAACCTACAGTTAGGACCTGAGGTGGCCACTGCTCTGTGGACTGATGAGAGACTTGGCCTGGTTCTAGAATCACCACTGGGAAATTAACCGAATTCCTGTTACGGCTGTGCATTTTGTAGCTTGTATGGAAAAAAAAAAAGTTTCTGAAAACGTTAAGTGACTTTGATAATTCCTTATGTTTTAGAGTACGTTTTTAAAAATTTAAGAGGCTGATAATTGACTTTAACATGCCTGTTATTAAGTCAATTGTAAGTTTATTTTTTATTGTAACCTTGGAGCTAAATCTTTTACATTATAAAAGTACTTGTAAAACGTGCAAACCGCATGCATACGTGTGTATATATATGTATATGGTAAAAAATTTAGGTCCTTGCTGCACCCATTCCCAGCTCCTTCCTAACCCTGAAAATTACTTTGAGAGCAAAACACATGAACTTGGGTGTGAAAAAATAACCTGGCAAAAAAACACACCAAAAACCACTTATTGGGAGCAATAATGCTTTCTGATCAGACTTAGCCAATTTAACAATGACGCTTCAAGAACCTAATAACTTCAATTCCATGCGCTAAAATAGATGGCAAGATAGGGGCAGGGAAACACTTATGACATCTGGGTCTGAAAAAATAAATATATTTTGGCGAGAGAAATTTAGTTACAGATGATAATTCTTAAAAATATTTAAAGAATGTGATTCCCTAATTTCAAGTACAGCAGCACGTCTTCTAAGTGAAATTGCAACAGCTTCCGTTTAAATCTACTTTATATAACTTGTGTTTAGGCCTTTGCATTAGACTGGTACTCAACAAATATCTGCGGCGAAGGAAGGGTTTTTCCTCTGTCTTAAAATCTGCATGGAATTAAATTAAAAATCGAACACATTTCCCCCCTTTCCACAGGCTCTGCCTTCCAGTCCTTCAGCATCTCCCCCAGGGAGCGCCTGCACTTTCCAAACCTCACACTATGCAGGCTCCAGCAGCTTAATCGCAAGAACGTTAATCACATGGCTGACTTGCATTTTTATGGCCTAGATT